TGTTCTTTTTTTTAAATGTTTTTTAGCATCTTCTTGACTTTTAACTATTTTTATAATTCTTGTGTATACTTTTCTTAATTCTTTTCTTTTGCTTAATTATATAGATATACTGTTCTCAATTGTCTTTTCCTTTTAATTTTGGTTTTGCTATTCTTTATTATTATATGTTTAATTCATATTTTTGTTTTTACAATCTTATAATTGCTTTTAGTAATTTCTTTTGCATCTTCAATTTATGGTTTCTGTAGACCTAAGACCAGCTCTTCTAATACCCATATATAGTCAATTCTTGTTGCTGCTTCTTTATTTAACCATGTGAACTTTTGGCTTGTTAAATACATATCTCTGTAAGTATCACTAAAGTTCTGTTTCTTCATCTAATTAAAGATTAGCAATCTTTTGAAATTTGTTGTTTGTGAATGTTGTCTGTCTAAAACATTATTTGTTGTGTGATTAAAAACATCTAAAATAACTATTTGTATTTGTTTTTTCTTTTTGGTAACTATTTTTATTATTTTTTGTTGAATGTTTTTTTTTATTGCCTTGTCACTTGATAGTATATAAACTTTTAGAACTACTAACTCCAATTGTTTGAAATATAATACAAGCTTTATTATATATTCATTTATCTTTTTAATTGTATTTACATGTTTTTCCTATTGCTTGTTAACTATAATGCTTATACCAGATCCTTTCTTTTTGTCTTTTGCTATTTTAATCTTCTTTCTTTCTTCTTTTTATTTTTATTTAGTTGTTCTTGTATCATTCTTGCTGTTTCTTCTTTTTCTTTTTCTTTCTTCTTTTGAATAAGGATATGTTTTTTTTTGTTTTTGAAAACTCTTTTTTGTTTTATAAGAACTTATCTATTTTCTCATTTATATTCATAAATTCAACTAAGACATCTTTAGAAGCATTTAGCTATGCCATTCTCTGTTATGTTTTTTATTTTTTTTAGTTTTTTTAGTTTTTCTAAAATTCAGTCTAGCATATTTTTTATATATATGTTCTTTTCTTGCTATTGTGTCTTGTCTTTATTTTTTTTTTTTCTAGACTTTCTTCTTTCTCATTATCTATACTTCTATACCTTCTTTAGTTTTCAATATTATGTTTTAGGTTAATACTTTCTTTTTTTATTATTTGAGCTTCTAATTTTTAGTTTTTATAATTATTTTTTTTGCTTATGTATATTCTGTTCTATTAGTTTTATTCTTTACTTTTATTCTTTTTTATATCAAAGATTTAACTTAATCTATCCCAGCTTCTTTTTCTTTTATTTTGAAAGCTTCCTCTTCTTTTTGCCTTTCTTTTTCTTTTATTTATTCAGTATACTCAAAAATAGTTGTGTATGATTAGTTTTAATTGAGTTGCCTTTATGTCTTTCTTAGTTGCAAATATAATTAATGCTGTTCTCTTTTGATTTCTATTTCAGTTTGGTAAGATATATACTAACTTTATTCCTTTTCTCTCAAGTACTGTAATAATAAGACTTCTAAAATATTTTAGATAATTCTGTTAGTTTAGCTATATGTTTTCTTTGTTTTTCTCTTGTTTTATAGTTTTTTTTTCTCTTATTACTCTCATTAACTTGTAATTGTCTGTTAGTAATAATTATGAAATGTCATTTTCTTTAATACTTTGCATTTGTATTACTGCTAAAGCCTTGTAAATAAATTTTTTGATGCATACTATCTGTACATTTTTGATTTTTTTGCAAATATACTTTACTTCTTTTTTGTTTATATAGTCATTAAGTCTCAGATTATTAGATAAGTTATATTATTGATGAATCTTTTTTCTTTTTTATATTTATTATTATTTGATCCTTTTTTGTTATTATTTTCTTTGACTTTTTCTTTTTTAAAACTTGATATATATATTTTTTTATCTCATTGTTCTTTTTCATAGTTTTTTTGCTTTCTTTTTTTGTCTTCTTTCTTTTTTTCATTTTTTGGTATTATCTTATATCAATTATTTTTTTTCTACTAATTCTTTGTATAGCTTCATTTCTGTTATAATTACAGTTAAAAACTACTTCTATTCAAAGGTTTTTCTCTTTTGAATACTTCTTTGATGTTTTTATTGGCATATTATTTTTTAAAGATCATCTAATAAACTTTATACATTTCTCTTCTGTTTTTCCAAGAATGTTATATGCTGGTATATTGGTAATTAAACTGTTATTTTGATTACAATTTCTTTTGTTTAGTGCTTATATACTTTATTCTAATGCTATTTCTATTATGTTAATTTCTTTTTCTATTTTTTGTTTTCTTCTTTTTTGTCTTTCTTTTTCTTCTTTTAATGTGTTTTGTTTTGATTGTTTGTCATTCATTTTTATATCTTCTTGTTCAATTACTTTTTCTTGTTCAATCATTCTTTCTTGTTTTTTAGCTCTTGCTTTTAAGTAAAGGGCCTAGATAATAACTTGTTATTTATTTCTGTACTTACTTCTATTTATTTATTTTTTATGCTATATTAGTTTCCTCTTATTGTTTTTCTATACTTTTAAGTTTTTCTTTTGTAGTTTTTTTCTATTTTTATTTTTGTTCAATATTTTCTTTTTGGTTTATTTTTGCTACTTTTTGCTGTTCTTTATTGTGATTGTTTTATGCTTATTTCTTTTTTACATCTTAACTTTTTATAATCATATTTAACTTTTTTTCAGATTGTTCTTCTTTAGTCTTTTTTAGTATTTCTCTTACTAATCATAAAAGAGCCATCTCATTCAGGTCTTATTCTGTAAATATTGCTACAATTTTGTTTTTTCTATCTGGTACTGTATATGTTTTGTCTACTTTATTAAAAAAGACTTTGTTATACATACTATTCATTACCTAGTATGCTCTTCTTATAAAAATTGCTTGCAGACTCTCTCTATATTTTTCTGATATATTTTTGTTTATTTTGTGATTTATTCTTCTTTAGAATATTTTGTTATATGTTCTTGTTATATTTTGATTCTCTGTTATTTTATAAATAATTCATCTATATTATTTGTTCTAATATTCTGTACATGTCTGTTTTGCCTAATTTATTACATGTTGCTTGTGTAATATAAACAGATCAATATACAAAGTTAATAGCAGTTTCTACAATTTCTGTTTGCTTGCTAAATTTTCTAAAGAAACTTAGATTTTTCTCTATAGTTGCTTTGCTAGTATCTGCAATACTTTCTATTTTTAAGTCTGTTTAATGCTCTTATTGTTTCTTTTTTTTAGTATTGTTTGTAATATTTCTTATTGTTGGATATACAAAAAATCTATTTTCTTTTTTTCTAATTTTGTATCTAAGTGATCATTAGAAAGAGCATTATATATTTTGTATAATAAAGACAAAAAAGAAAATTAAAAACATCTAATAATATATAAAATTTATGAAAAAAAAATAGGCTAATACAGAAAAATTAACTATTAATTTGGTTTAAACAATACTTTTAAAAGAAACTTATAAGAAAACAAGAAATTAAAACTAATAAAAATCTTATATAAAGATTTAATAAAAGAAAAAACTTAATATAAATCCAAAAGTTTTAAGGACTAATTCAAGAAAAGGTCAAAACAATATTATAAAAATTTATTCAAATTTTTAAAAAAATTAAAAAATTAATAACTATTTAGATAAATACAACATAAAACAAGTTTTTTGAAAACATATAGAAAAAATATTATAAAATAATAACTAACTAGAAAAACAAATAAAATTAACTCTAAAAATAAAAACTAAAATGAAAATAATTAAGTAATAGTATAACTAGCAAACATATATATAAAAAGAAAAATACTATAACAAATAACTAAAATCAATCTATAAAAAAAAATTAAAAAGTGAAATAAAAGTACAAAAATCATAATTAAATTTGATTATTAGTTTTATTGTAAGAAAAATAAGATTATTTTTTTATAATCTTAATGACTAGCTTGGTATTATTCTCTGGTTAAATTAATTTCTAATATAACAAACTGTTTCTAAATATTTATAAAAATAATCAAAAATAGGTTTAAGTTGCAAATAACTTGTCTAAGCCTCTAATTTTAATATCTTACAAATGTAAAATTCAAATATAAATTTTTTCTGTATATTTTATTTGTAAAAAGTTTAACTGAGTTTTAATAAAAATAAAGCCATGATTTCACTTTTAATATTAAAAAAAAAAATAATCAAGAAATGTCAAGCCAGAATTTAAATCAACTTTGTACAATATATAAATAAGAATCTTAATAAAAATAATTATCAAAATTGTCAAACTTAAAAAAAATATTATATACAAATAATAAATTATATATTATAACTGCAAAACAATCATTACTTATTCTAAACTAAATATAAAATAATACAATTTACTCGATATAAAAAAAACTTAACTATAGCATAATTATAAATTAGATAAAATTTAACTTCTTTTAGTAAAATATAAGTTATAAATAAAGTAACCTAAGTATTTAGTTTTCATAAATAAGTTATATAATATATTTGTAAATTAAAACTCTTATATAAATAACAATATTTTACTTTTTAAAAATGTATATGCAAAAATAAATGACAATATTTGTTAAAATCAACTACCAAACGTAATTTACTAATATAAAAATAAATAACAGCCAAATCATAAAACTTTTTTTATATTAAAAAATTAGAAATTTTTATTATTTTTGAATATATATGCAAAAAAAATCTAAATTTATAATTATAATAATATAGTGTAAACAAAATATTTGTTTTATTTTTATAATAATTCAAGTAACTGCTTAAGTTGTAAAGAATCAGAAAATTCCATCATAAATTTCATTTGCAATAGTGGTGTAAATAGTAAATTGCATCCTTTAAAATTCTCAGCAAGTTTATTTACTTGTTTCAGTAAATAAAAAATCTAATTTAATAATAAATTTTCATTATAAACTAAAATGATGATTAAAATAAAACAAACTATATCCACCTCTAACGCTACAAAATGACAAAAATTTGATTCTATTAGTGGCATCGAAGCTTTATTAATTGCCAACCTGGTCCTATGGAAAGGCCACGAGCAGTATAATCCATATTAAAGTTCATAAAAAAGGATTCAACTTCATCGCCTAAATTATCTGGATATGTTAGATTTATAAATATATATAAATAAAAAAAGCCAACAATTCGTTGCATAATACCCATGTTTATTAGTAATCCTGCTTCTTCAGGACCTCCTTTTAGATTTAGTTGTTGATTTACTGACTTTTTTGCTTTTAAATGCACTTTTGAAAAGCCTTTCTTTTTTCCAAGCAGAGTTACTCCAAAAGGTTTAATCTCAGAATTAAGCATAGGTACATCATCGACAACACAGGAGAAGTCAGGCCGTTTTTTTGTGCCACTTACAGCATGATTAAGTCAAACTTCATATTCTACAAGACGTTCAAAAAACAAAAAGTTTATATAAGAATATAAAAACTTATCATAATGCAATTCTTCAGAAATTTTGTTCGGAGAATGGGTAGGAATAACACATCTATAATATATTAAATTAAGTAATATTGTTATCAGAATTCTCTTTCAAATTACCGATAAAGATGTAAAGTCAACATACAAATCATTGAATGTGCGAGCAACAGCTTTACTCAGTTTTGATTCATCAGATTGCATATAACTTTCCTTGCCCATTAAATGCATCATTGCAACTTCTCGAAGAACTGTTGAGACTGATGGTGGTATTACAGGATGCAAGATCACATATGGGTTGGTTCGAGTCACATGATCCCATTCATGGTTGGTAAAAATCTTTGAATACGGGCATGGCCAGGAAAGAACTATAATTGATGCGAATGCCCTAAAGCACAATCGCAAAGTATAAATCTAATTAGAGTAATAAGAATGAACTTGATTTTTCAGTTCCACGTTATCCAAAATCTCATATGAATCACTCCACTTCAATCCATAGCTTATCACCTTGTCAATGACGCTTCGTTGGTATTGACGAAACCTCCGTGTGACGTTTATATTGCCAACCTTCCACTAAGTTATGTGAATAGCATTAGAAATGTGGCAAATAATCAAAAGCTCAATACTACGTACCTCAATTAATGGCTCCATTTCCAACTGTTTCTTTATATTAACAAGATCGATTTCAATTTGTTCATCTTGTTCTTCGGTTTCATCATTGCAACTAGTAGAAGAAGCAAATGTAGATGGATCTTGGGTCGTTTTGATCTACCACGCCTCGAAACTAGTGAATATGTGAAGCATTTCTGCAACTAAATATAGATTTATTCTTTACTAACCTTTTTAGCTGTTTCGCATTCTATTTCATCAGTACGTTTGGATGTATCAGATAAGCTATGTTTTCAATTAGATTTCTGCCAAAACATGATAACTACATTGGTTATTCTATCCATTGACTATACTATATCTAAAAATTATATCATACCAGCTTTGCATCAACGTTTTCCATTACTGCTGCAGCCACTTTCGAAGCCCCTTGAGCTATTACATGAGCCATTCTCAACTAGAATCCAAATTTCATTATTAATCATATCAACCAAAAAGTGATAAGAATACAATATTTACTTCATCTAATTGCAATCCCTTTTTCTCTATATTAAATTCTTCATTTTCAATAGCGTTCCAGAATTTGTCAACTTCTCGGAATTTGGCTCGGTGATTATGCAAAAACATGAATTTGAAAAATAATAGTTACTATGCAGACAACAACGAACACGCAAGATCATAAAGCGGACCACACGCAAGAAGCCCGCCGTAGTTGTTAGAGTTCTTATAACTGCTAGAAGATTCTCATACTACATTTCTGTAGACCACAACGAACACACAAGATTATAAAGCGAGCCACACGCAAGAAGCCTGCCGTAGTTGTGCCCGTCGTAGTTTTGGACTCTGAGAATCTTCTATACTGCCTTTGATAAATACTAAAACGCAGACAACAACGAACACGCAAGATCATAAAGCGGACCACACGCAAGAAGCCCGCCGTAGTTGTTGGAGTTCTTATAACTGCTAGAAGATTCTCATACTACATTTCTGTAGACCACAACGAACACATAAGATCATAAAGCGAGCCACACGCAAGAAGCCTGCCATAGTTGTGCCCGTCGTAGTTTTGGACTCTGAGAATTTTCTATACTGCCTTTGATAAATGCTAAAATGCAGACAACAACGAACACGCAAGATCATAAAGCGGACCACACGCAAGAAGCCCGCCGTAGTTGTTGGAGTTCTTATA